TCTCTCTCACTCGCATGTAGCATAGCGAAAGAGTACGCTATGCTACGTGCGAGCGAGAGAGAACGCAAGAAGCACGAAACAGAGTATGTCCTTTTCTACGTGCATCTTTACCCCCACTCCTTAAATAAAGGCAAACGCTCGGTCTAGATATACTATGTCTATGGTGCGAACCCATGCAGTGGAATAGCGTAACGCGGAACGAAAACGGAATCAATCGCGAACATAACAAAAACTGCAGAACGCTCGCGATTGGTTCCGCTCTCGTTCCGTGTTACGCTATTTCGTTGCATGGGTTCGCACTCTCAGGGTGCCATTACATGGAGCGCGGATTAGCGTAACGCGGAACGAGAATGAAACCAATCGCGAGCATTCTGCAGTTTTTGTTACGCTCGCGATTGGTTCCCTTCTCGTTCCGCGTTACGCTAATTCGCGTTTCCGCGCTTTATGTAATGGCACCCTTAAGATTGTGCTTAAAACGGTCTTAAATATAAGAACTGACTATGAATACCGGCCATAGAGTTCATTGTCTAGAATTTATGTAATTTAAGATTCTGATAAAGAGGTTAGATTGGTTTGACCAAATACTGTAGATAATAGTACGTCCAACTTCGATTAAAAACAGGCAATACAGCGCACTAGCGCTATCACGCGGCCTGAGTTGTTAGTATTTTTTTAGTAGAGGAGAACGCTTGTCTCGTAGTTAAGTGGTTTGTGATTATATTAATGAAAGCTATTATTGCTACACGTAGCAATGCAATACAATAATAATAATAATAAGTATTATTATAATAATAATACTAATAATACAAATATTTAATAATAACTAATAATATATAATAATAAGTATTTATACTATATGATTTAAATGTTTTAGTTGCATGAGATGACAGCGTCATATTCCGAGATATCATTTGATTCACAATCCTCGCCTCCTATTTCGGAATTGAGATCGCTTATTGATTCTCCAGATATCGAGAGCGGGAAGTTTTTGGAAGACAGTCTGGAGAAAATAAGCGGAACTGGCCACAGACCGGATCAATTAGATTTGAAAAATAGAGGCGGCAGTCCAACGGAAGATGACGATCTGGATCCACCGAGTTATCACAAAGCCATGGGTTATTTGCAATTGGAGGGAAGAGTGATGCAGGACGGCGATATGGTATTGTTTGTTACAGAGGATCTAGAGAACAAGATCAAATTGTCCAGTCCTGTGACCAAGAAGGGAGAAACTCCATCGTTTCCGGGATCACGAAGCTCGACTCCATGCCTATATAGACAAGCTTTGACTCCGCAATTGCCACCTCTCGATCACAATGTATTAAACGAATTAGAAATGGAAGCTAGGAAAGTTGCAACCTCTGTAGACGCGTTGACTGAAAATCTGGCCGCAATTTTACAAAATGTGAGTCATTAATTTTATTGCCCCACAACATATCATATGACTCATATATTTGAATAATTTGTTATTGTTTCCAGGCATCCGCTCTTACAGTTGGCTGTTTGGAAACCTACCGAGATGCTGTGTGTAAAACGTGCGATGCTGTAGATCACAATATAAAGTCAATGTATCAATTAATGGCTAAGTGCGAGGAACTATCTAAATCGATGGGACCAATTTACAAGTTAGCAGAGCAGATGTAAGTATCGCGATATTTTCTTTTTAATTAAATTAAGGTTTGCAAAAATTATCCTGAAAAAACTTTGATTATTATATACTATGATTAGCATTTTTATTAAATTTCTTGCAAAGGCGACATCCTTATTTGTAAAGTCAATCAAATATATCTGATTAAATTATCGTGTGGAATCTGGAAATGTTAACGAAAGTACATCAAATGTTAAAGCAAAATTAATATCAAATTGTAATATTAAGGAAAATATGTGTATATGTAACGATTGTTATAAAATATTTTTAGACGAATATTTTAACGTTTTATTAAAAGCTTATGTTAAATAACAGCGTGATGGGAAAGGAGAGAAAAGCTTCCTGCAGAAAAAAAGACGCGCATGTTTATTAAAAGTTTAGTTTGTATATTCTGAGTCAACTGTTAGTATCGAAAATATTATAGCAAAGTTTAAAATTAAAACTCATTTTATACATAGTAAAAAGAAAAGAGAGAGAGAGAGAGAGAAATTAAAAAACTTTTTTCAGTGGTTGCCTTGCAAGACAAAGGATTTTTCAAGAGTTGGACGTATTATTATCTACAGTATTTGGTTTGACGTTCGATGACAGTTTGACACTTGGAGCGTCGACACGTTTGCATCATCTCGCACGATAAAATCTTTATTCTATTCGTAAAGATTTATAACGTGACAACTAGCGCGATGGAATCAGATGAAATGGAAGCAGCCTCGAAATCGGGAATAAATATTCGAAGTGACAAGAACACTGTTATTGACTACGACGAAGACAGAGTAAGGTTAGAATTTTAAGTTGCGTGAAATGTTGAATATTTACGAATATCTACGTGTCTGTGCGATATTATATAAATTATTATTTATATATATCTCAGTGCTTCTTTCTCTCTCTCTCTCTCTCTCTCTCTCTCTCTCTCTCTCTCTCCTTTTCTCTCTTTCTCTCGCACGTCTTCAATTTTCGTTTGAAGATGAATGATGAACTCAACAGGGAAATCCTATTTTTTAGATATTTTATAAAGTCTGTCATAATTTGCATTAAGCATAAGTAATCAAGTAACAGATGGGAAAAGAAAATCTGTTTTAATCAACTTTGTTATGGTAAATTACCATGAATATTGTACATATAGTGTGTATATATATACATATATTTTCCGCTTTGCGTGATTTTTAGCAAAGAGATGAAGAGAATGCTGGAGCTATTCGAGAGCGCAATGAATTTGTAAAGCAGCATAAAAGAGAAAATCGCCACATTTTCTCGAAACTTGTAATTATGAAGTATGCATGCGAAATGGAGATTACATTCTAAGTTATGATTATTGTGATTAACATCTTGTAATTTAAATATTTAATTTAGAATCACATCTTATGTATTTTTAAAATTATATATGTATTTAAAATATAGATAAGTACTCTTAATTGATTTGAAAAAATCTATTGTATTATAATGGTTGAAGAATAGTTTCACAATGTTATTAGTATTACATGACATTTTATGTATTCTGTACATGTTGTATACTATCATATTAATTTCTTATGCCACATATTTTGTACATACAGTGAAAGCAATATCATTAAATATAAAAAGCAATTTCTTTTAATATGATTTTATTATTCTGATGATTGTTGTGGAAGAAATAAAAACATATTTAGTATAATTTTCATTTACATGCTTCAAAAATTGAAAATTTGCAATTTAATAAAAGCAAAGGTTAAAACTTTATTTAAAAAAAGGGATACAGATTGGCAACTTTCGAAGAACACACACCTTGTAAGATGTATTGATGACAGAGAGATAGAAAGAAGGAGAAAAAGAGAGAGAGAGAAAGGAAATTTGACAAGAAGTGAAAGGATGGAGTGGAAATGAGGGTGGAAAATGGCTCGGAAGGGTAGCAACGACGTCTACTTTGTAACCGTAGACCAATACAAGTCTACAGTGGAAGCGGCTCCGGATATCATATTCCAGGATGTGCATTAGAGGCACTGAGTCGCTCGCCATCGTGGCCGTCCCGTTCCATCCCGTACCTTATCGTCGACGGGCAACTAAATACAATAACGGGATGGATGACTCGGAGGTTGGCGCCGGGGGTTGGGGGTTAACGGCTTTCGCGACGACGGCGGACCACTTTTCAGTCGCCTTTTCCACAAAGTGGCGGGGAGACGGAGTAGATCTGCCCCTGCTTTCCTGGTTGTCTCTTTTTGCACGCGAGCATCTCTCTCTCTTCCGACGTACAAAAGATGGTATCAACGATCTCGCGGTCGAGGTGTTCCGAGTGCCGTGCATGATAAATGGAAATTGCGAATAGAGCCCATTAATCGTGACTGCGAGCTGAAAAATTGAGTGACTTAATGAAAGAGTGATCTTTCCTAAAGAAGAAACAGAAAGCTGTTTTCGAGAAAAACAGATTTTTATTCGAAAATATTTATATTAATGTACTTTTATCATTTTCTGATTGTGATATTTGAATAATAAATATGAAATCATGGCTTGCGTTTTTTCTATAATCTTATCGATAAATCGATGAGAAAAATTCTATCCAATTCGAAGATTGACCTTCGCGTTATATCCCGCGATTACGATCAGTAGATAAAAATACTTATCTCATAGAAATCGAATTGTACAGACTGAACAGAAATTGGAAACATTAAGTATTTCTTGTAGATTTAAAAATACCAAAAAAGTGTACACAATAATATTTAGATAGTTTTGAAAAACAGGCCTGATAATTTGTTTTCTTTTCAGATCTTTAGTCATGATTTTTTAAATAAAATATGTGGCTTCATGTTCATCTATCAACATGTTTTGATATAAATAAAACCTGAACCG